TTCAATGTGGTTATGGGTATGAAAGGAAAATGACCTTTCTGCCTTCCTCGATGGTGTCGGTAAAGATCACCTTGCTAAGAGAACTCTGTGTCTCTTGCTAGACAAGGTACAGACTTTGTCTCTTTTAGTCCAGGTCTCAGCTTTGTTGGGTCTTTGTGTGGACTCAAAGAGATCACACCTGCAAAGTGCTCCCAGGAGTGTTGCTTTACTTAGTCCCGTTTTATAGATGAGAAAACTGATGCTAAGAAAAGTGACTCGCCTGATCTCACCCACCTAATAATATGTAGCATTAAAAAGTTAATATAAAGTATACGACTCCCAATCCAACATAGCAATAATGCCATCTTCATTCATTCATTCGCCTATTATGTGAGGCAGGCTTTGCTAGGTGCTAAAAGCAGGCATGATTGTGGTCTACAAAATTTGCTGTCAAAGGGCAGTTTGAGCCAAGAAAACATGCTGGTGCTTATGGTGCAGTGTGATAAATTATATGGTAGGGAATGTATAGGGTCTTACAGAAGGACCCAGAGGGGCACCCAAGCCAACCCTGAAGAGGGAAGGGAAGACCTGCAGGAGGAAGAGGCGGAGGAAGCTAAGCAAAACCAGGAAGGGGAGATGGAGAAGAGAATTTCAGGAAGAGGGAACCATACATGGGAATCAAAAAAGTTACTTGAGTAATTAAAAATAGTTTCATGAGACTAGTGTTTAATAATAACACAGCTAATAATTATTAGGCCATTCAGCATACATTGAGAGGCAGCATTGCACAGCACTACGTAAGGCCAGAAAGAGGACACTTCAAGAAGGAAGAAGTGGCCACTGAGTCTGGTGATGCCCAGAGGTCAAGCTAGGCACAGTCTGAGAAGGGCCGCCAGACTCGGCAATCATGGGCGGGAACGGTTTTAGCGGGTTGTTGGGGGCCCTCATCATTCCGTGATAGATATGGTGGCGGACGAGAGGGGAGGAAGGGGAAACAGTTCATTCAGAGGGCTCTTGTAAGAAATTGGGTAGAGAAGGAAGGAAAGAGATGGGACAGTAGAGCTGGAAGGAAACATGAGGTCAAGGAAGAGATTGTTTTTTGTAAGACAGCCTTGAGTATGTTTAAATGTTGATTTGATCAGAAAAGATTTGTTGAGCAGCAGGAGTTGAACTTAAAGAAAAGAAAGAGTCTAATTAACAAAATGTTGCCCCCAGGAAGGCAGAAGAAATAGGCCTGGGAACGGAATTATGATGGGGAACAAGAGGAAGGGCTGCGTGCGTAGGCAGGGACGTTTCTAGTCTGAGGCAGGAAACGGAAGGAGTTCCTGTCTGACATTAGCTGGAGAAGGTGGCAGGACCTAGGGAAGGTAGAGTTTTATTTTTACGTATTTATTTAGGATTTGAGGCAGGGAATTTTACTTATGTACTATATGCCATGCTTTTTGCTCAGGATTTTACAAAACACCAGTTCAATTTATTTTCACAACAATGCTGATCTATAGACAGTATCATTCCCATTTTCCATAGGAAGAAAATAAAGCTTAAAGAGGATGAATAAATTGGCCAATTACACAGCTGGCAAGAGTAGAGCCAAGATTCCCAGCCAGGGCCACATGATTCCAAAGCCAGATCTTTCCGGATCCATTCCCAGGCAGAGGGGAAAGGGCAGGGGAAGAGAGAGATTAAAGAGGCAAAGGAATAGTATTTGGTGAAGGAAAATTTTAGAGAACGAGGAGGACCAGGAAGAAGCGTAAGACTTTGTCTTCCTTAAAAGACAAAAGTAAGAATAAAAGAGAGCAGTAG